AAAATTAATTATAAATACTGTATTTAATAAGACTTAACTATACCCTAAAAATTATAAGCTAAATTTTTTTTTATAACCTTGTAAAATAAATGTAAAAATATTTAATACCCCGTATTAAATACAGCATATCTCGTCGTATCAAAAGAAAACAGGCTACAAAAAGTCCTCCAGGATGATTTTTAAACTTTCCCCTTCACTCATTTTCTTTACTACCATAAATAAATGAAAATAAACAATTAATGAAACCATTAATCAGATGATATTTAATCAATCAATTTATTTGTTAATTAAGTACACATGATGCAATAGTTATGGCCCTTTCAATTTTCTTTTATTTTTTAAAAAATTATTTATAATGAAATTCTATATTTACTCTACCTATATATATATTTCTCTGTTTCATACAAAATCCAAAGACTCATTCTTCTTTCCCCTGTTTCTCTCTCAGAACACGAAGCTCTGTTATGGCCGCCGAAGTTAGTTCTCTGCGTCAAGTGCTTAGCGGCTACAAGGATGAACTTAACACCATGAATGAATCTAGTGCCGCAAAATCATCCGCTCTGATTACTCGGGACCTGCTCGGAAGTGGTGGTGGTGGTGGTGGTGGTCACGGCGCATCCTCCATTAACGTGATGAAGAATGAATCTCAAGAACTGGACCTCGATCTTCAAGTGCCAAGCGGCTGGGAAAAGCGTCTGGATTTGAAGGTTTGTTGATTTTTTTGGTCGTTTCCAAATTTCAGATTGTGTATGATCTTTCCTTTGATCCGGGGAATTTACTTCTCAATCAAAAGAGAGAATTTGAACCCTTTTTTTTACATTTTTTTATTCAATCGTGTTTGGCGAAATGAATTTTTCTAGTTGCGTATTAAAGACGTGATCTGATCTATTCGGTTTGTAAACCTCTGAAATCCTCTGTTTTCCACTGAAATTCTCTGTTTGGTAGCCGAGAAAGTGAGGGAAATGGAAAAGTTAGTGAATAATTAGACTACCTTTTAGTATTTAAGATGAAATTGATTTCTTGGTTTTGATCCAAACAAACCATACATCCAGCCAGTACATAAATTTTTTGGTCAAAAAATTTGAACAACTATTTTAATGACTAATTAATTCTCATTAATTATTAGAATTACTTCTCCCACTTTGCAATCTTCTTACCCGTAATTAATTCTGTTTCTCCATTCAATGTCTTTGGGTATCTACTTAAACATCTCATTAATTTCTAGGGAAGATTAAAAAAATGAATCCAATCTTTGAGTAATTGCTTACCGTGTTTGAATTCATTTTGTTATTAATGCTTGCAGTCAGGGAAGGTTTACTTGCAAAGATGCAATTCTCAAAATTCAGTGTCATCGGCGTCATCCTCCGACGGGAAGCTTCCGATCAATCAAACAGTGCCGCCGAAGTTTCAAGATTTGAATTTCCCGCCATCACCCAAAAAACCGTTACTAAATCTCTTTGATGAATCCAGCTTGGAGTTGAAATTGGTCTCCTCCTCCTCCTCATCTCCCTCCGGTGCCAATTATCAAAGCGTTTGTACACTTGATAAGGTGAAATCGGCGCTGGAGAGGGCGGAGAAGGAGCCGGTTGTTAAGAAACGATCGACCTCCTTGTGGTGGTCGTCGATGTCGTCGCCTTCTTATTCATCATCGTCTTCTTCGATCAAGGATGCAACAGAGGATGATAGTGAAGAGAAGTTGTTTTCATCCCCAATGGCAGTAGGCTGCCCCGGTTGTTTATCTTATGTGTTGATAATGAAAAATGACCCAAAGTGTCCTAGATGTAATTCGGTTGTACCGGTACCGGCCATGAAAAAGCCTCGGATTGATCTCAATATATCAATTTGAGACGAAATGGTGTGTAAGCTTGTGTTTATGATCGTTAATTTTGTAAAGCAATAGATCAGGTAGTGGTTGGAAGGATAGAGATGTTAGGCAAATTTGATCATATTTAATTTAAATAGACATGATAGATTAAAAATATATATATATATATCCTTTTCTCTCTTATTTATTTATTTATTTTTTTTGAACGGTAAAGTTGACATTCAAACCTTACCCCGTTAAATCATAGTATCAGAAGTCGTTGACATGGATAAAATAGTTATTAGACTACAATGACGTTCTCCTCTTGCATTCTTTCTTTTGAGATCAAATGGGGGATTAAATCTCATAATCAAGATGAAGTTTGGTAACCATCTTCCTTATTGGTTTGCACCTAACGCAGTCCAACCTCTAACTTTGAAAATCTCATTTTCGTCCTGCTCCATTTTAGTAAGTAAGTTTAAACCAAATAATTGTTACACGTATCGTAGAATTCAAGAGTTCCATTCAACTAACACCAACGCCCCCCCCCCCCAATATAATGGAATTTGAAAATCCAATCCACCCAAATCCAAGAAACCCAACAGCAACAATACCATGAAAAGAAAACTCAATTAAGATGGGGAGTGTGACATGTATCCATGCAGTTTGTGCGTGTAGAAGGGATAATATCCACCCTTCTCCTACCCCAAAAATGGGAAGGGTTTTTGTACTTTTCAGCTTGCTATCATAAAACCAAAGGAAGACAGTGATGTAGTACAGAAATATGGTTGTGTCCTATAAATGTTCGAAAACTGCACTCACCTACACTTCGTCAAATGATGAGCCCTTTTTTAATTTTTCTGGTTTGCCTAATTGATTGTGGCTATTTACAAGACATATTCATCAATATACATACCTAACTCATAATAAATGGCTATTTAATTTAGCACATCGTCTTTAAAGTCGTTTACCTAATTTCTCATGAGTTTAATGTTTTTTTCTTTTCTTTTCTTTTTTTTCTTCTTTTTTCTTCTTTTTTAACCTTTTTTCTATATTGAGATGTAAGATTTTTTTTTTTTGAATTTTCTAACTTATATATTTAAAGCACAAATTAAGTATCATTAATTTGCAATATTTGTAATTAATTTTTTTTAAATGTTACACAAAATTCAATTAAAATAAAATATAAAATGTAAACTTAAAGCACAAATTAAGTCTCATTAATTTGCAATATTTGCAATTAATTTTTTTTAAATGTTACACAAAATTCAATTAAAATAAAATATAAAATGTAAAATTAAAATATAATATAATATTTATACTTAAAATTTATAAAAATATATAAATTTAATATAAAATTTATACAAAATTAATTATAA